AAAACACTCATCGAGCACTTGAATCCACAAAAATCACCGACCTGAGGCAGGTAAACCTGGTAAATTCTTTTTTATGAATCCAACCACCAAGATTGGGAAGAATCCAACTTTCGCAGCCAAGGTGGCAGCCAAAACCGCGACATTGGTGATTTCTTTTTCCCTCTTCGCTGGTGTTTTTTCAACGCCATCCCGGTGCCATGGACCCTGAGTGGTTGCGGAGCTGTTGGCCATGGATGGGCTCCTCGGCGCTGGGCGTTTGTGGCCTGCTGCGACTGATGGAGATCCGCTGGGAGGTTTTTTTTTTTTTGGTGTTTTTTTTTTGGTGGCCAATGGCAACTGGGGATTTTTTGGGGCTGTTTTTTTTTGGGGTAAGGGGGAAGCCACCAGCAACTGGGGACTGATCAGATATTTTTTCCATCATTCAATGGCGGCCTACTAATTTCGAGGTTGACATTGATGGGATTAACATATTCCCTGGGCAAGACATGACAAAAACATACAAAAACATGGTTGACCCACACCTTGGTAGTCCTGGTAGTCGAAAATCCCTAGGACAATAATGGTGGTTTCAGCATGTTCCAGCAACTACCAATGAAACAAAGGCGTTTGGAAGGTCAGGGTATTCCTACTACAGCACTACGAACGTCTGCAGTTCATGATTTTATGACCTCAAGTCTCACTACGTCTCCCAAGATCGATGGAGTCAGGAAAATGGCCGAACGATCTCAGGTTGGTGAATTATGACTGAAGTCATCCAGACATATCCAGACATGGGGATGACAAGATGCAAATGGGTCGATAGAGCACCGTCATTGATCCGATAGACCAGATGCAATTTACCCAGATGCATTTCCAGATCGGAAGATTTACAGGACCCCCTTTTTACGTTTCGCTGTTTTTTTGGGTGAAATACTCAAAGAAACATGGTTTCAATCCCCAGCAGGAGCCGTCGAAGACGGAGACGTCTGAGCTGGGGAGGAGTCTTGGTGAAGGAAATTTCCACTTTGATCAAAACATATTATGGAGGTTTCCTAAAATGGGGGTACCCCTAAATCATCAATTTTGATATATAGGATTAAAACCCTTATAAACCAACCATTTTGGGGTACCTCCATCTATGGACACCCCCATATGGGAATCCCGAACGAATGGGGATGGGTCAAAACCTGTTGGAAGGCGATTGTCCCGCAGCAGCGTCTTTTTGTGGCACATCCCATTGCCTCAACTTGGTGTGTCAAATCTCCTTCTTGTTTCTAACATGTCCTTTTCAGGTTGTCACCCGCCCACATTTTTGGATGGTGAACCCGCACTTGAGCTTTGGTTAGTGGTGTGACATACATTTTTCATGTTTCCGGATGAATAATTATGACAATTATTAGAATTGACTTGAACCTATTTTCATCATTTTAGAACAACAAAGTGTCGTTTTCATGTGGTTCATCATTTGTTCCAAAATTATCCAGATATTTGACTGTGATATAGTGGCTATGAATGTCTTGTTCTTTAATTTGATCGCCAGCATTTATTCCTTCTTGCAAGCTTTCCACCTGCAGGCTGATGCTCCGGTTGGTTGAAAGTGAACGTCTTCGAAGATGGGGCCTGAGCCTATCTGCTGCGGCTTTAGTTGCGGGCCTCTATCAGATGCCTGGCGATTTATTGCTGGGATCCAATCTGATTTAACCATGGCGATTGAACCAGCTTGAGCTTATTTTTCACGAACACAGGAAGTGTCGATTTCACCTAAAACGATTTGAACAAACATTAGTCAAAGAACGTTCCTGGATTTGGCACTACAGATTGGGACTTGAGCACCAATACATATATATATAAATACAGTACATGTAGATTATATATATATAGACAGGCATATATATATATATGCATATATATATATATGTGTATATATATATACGTACACATATGTTTGTATACATGTATAGAGGTATGTGTACATATATATATATAATATATATATATATGTATCTACATAATACATGTCAACAAGTATGATCAAGGCAGTCATTGAGGCTCCAGGTATTTTGCTCATGTCGCTGGGCAAATTACCAAGGATGACCTTGATGCCAGTGCGCAAGCGCACCAAAGACTACCACGACCACCACTCCAAACATTTTAAGGTGCCAAAGGACCACAATGGCTGCAGAGTGAATGGAATGTGTTACGGAAGATATGTCGAAACCTTTTGGCCATCGTTTTTGTCCGTAGAATTGACGATCTATTTTCTATCTAGGTTGATAGTCATATTTGTCTTTAGTTTTAGTCCCAAGCTTTCTACCCGGAGCCAGATCGTTATTGATGCACTCAAAATTGCTGGCAATGATAGCATGTATATATATATATACATATATATATATATACATATATATATATATACATATTATATATGTAATGCTTAATGTGGTCAAGAGTCAAGCCAATGTGGTTACCATCCCCCAGTTATCACCTGATGGGATTCCAATCCCCAAACGGTAGGTCTATCATTGGGTTGTCCACATTACTTGCGCCTGGACTCCGGCATTTGCAATGACAATGATATGCCAAAATTCTGAAAAATGGTGAGTTTTCCACATCTATGTTAGCTTTACATGAGATTTGAGAAGTTCATCCTATGTCTGTTCCTTTTTTGGAACAGGATGAAGCCCAAATGCCCAAATAACCGTTTGGGCCGCAGATGGCTCACTTCCAATTCTGTGGGTTACAAAAAGAAGTCCATCCCCCGCAAAGATAGAAAACATTCATTCCCCATTAAAAGAGTGAGGATTCACTTTTCTATCTTTTTGGGGGTGAGTATATGTATGTACATATATATATATATATATATTTTGTTATCTCCACTTTTGGGTGTTTTTATATGGTTCAACCCGCCATCTCTGAGAATGGCAAGGGGTGGTTTAAATATGTCATTTAAACCTAATAGATACAGAACACACACACATGCATAGTACAAACTACTGTATGTGTCATTTATATCTTTATATATATATATCCTTAAACTTTATATTTACCATTCATATTTATATCGTGACACTTGTTTTTTTTCTGAACACTCATCATTGTTTCTTGTTTTTCATAACGCTACCTAGCCGTTAGATCTGAAGATGACCCACTAAGCACGCCCCTGCTCCGTGCGAGGCACTGCGCGGCAAGATGTTTCCACCGGGCTTTCCCAATGGCTGGCACTGTGTGTGCAATGCCACAGACCTGGCAGATGGAGCGGCATGGGATGGGAGGGGCAGAGGTGGGTTCGAAGTTGAGAGGGGATGAAAAGGGGGTTACATTAGCTAAGTGGGTTTATAACCAATATAACTGTTGGGGTTATGATAGTTATAATTATCCCCTATACATTAGTTATAGTTGGTTCATCACTAACTGTTGGGGTTATGATAGTTATCGAGCTAGTTCATGGGATTTATAAACCAATAACTAGTATAACTGTTGGGCTTATGTGGGATTTATAAACCAACAAGTATAACTGGTGGGGAACCACTGAATGTATGAGGTGAGTTTGGTACCTGAAAATGGACTACTTACCCCAAATCCAAGGGATCTAAACAAATTGTGAGGACCAACTTTTTTGACCAACCCAGGTTGGCCAAAGAGGCTAACCCGCCCAGCTGCAGGACAGGTGAAATCCATTTCGGCCCTGGGAACCTACATGGTTGCCTTCCGTGGCCAGGATGGAAAGGCCTTGGTGTCATGGGGAAGGTTGGATGGTGGATGACTTCATTGCTGGCCCAACCCCCCAAATTTGGGAAGGGAAACCCCAAATTGGATGGTTCAATTACATCATTTTCTTTGGCAACATATGTATTTTGGGGGTATACCAATGTATTGTGTGAGAGATGTTAGATTATTGGTGATGCTTTCTGATGGTGAAGGAGAATTATGATGAGGATGGTGATGAATTGATGAATTGATGCCAATCTGGATGATTTTGAGGTCTACAGTAGCAACCAAAGCTCTACTTTGAGACAATTTTGCTGGAACATGGCTCCCCAATCCTTCAGCTTGTTCTGATGGAAACAGGGTTGCTCCAATCGGTGAATCGCAGCCGCAAGAGGGGGAAAGGGGTTGTTTTACCATGTTTTACCCTCTGGTAATTTAACATAGTTATTGAAAATCACCATTTATAGTGGATTTACTGTGTGTTTCTAACAGAAACACAGAACAATTGAGGAACCACTGTTTTGGGTGGAAGGGTGGGCTGTGACCGCAGGCATGGCTCCAATGTGCCAAGGTCATGGCAAATTTTTCTTCTGCCCTGTTGTTCTCTTAGGGCGCGAGTTGCCATGGCCTTGTTTGGCAGATGGGACGCACTCTCACAGTTCCAGGACATTGGAGCCTTAAGGGCACATTTTGGTGTGCCAGCTGAGGCATGGGAGGCCTTCATTTCCATGGTCGGCGATTTCGGCGAGGACATACGGCTCCTGGCGGCCTTTCCCAGATCTGGCTTGCTGGCAGGGATCACTCAGGCAACGAGACCTGATGGGTCGGGACTACTTCCAGTCCAGGCAACTCAAATTGGGCTGGTGTGGCGCCTAGCTAGACGAGTTAGTGCAAGCCATAGTGGCATTACAGAGGCAGAATTCCAGGACGTGGACCCATGGGCAGAGGAGCAGGTCGTGGAACCCGCGAGACAAAGCTCCTCAACCGGTGGGATCAAGGAAAAGATCTTGAAAATGTCGGCACTAATTGACCAGTCTGACGACTCTGAACTTATGCCCCCTACTTCAATGGAGGTGAACTCGTGGCTTCAGAACTACCACGCGGTGATGGGGGCGATGCCTGACGAAGCTGAAGAACCTAGTCCAAATCAACTGGCGGCTCTAGCAAAGAGGGTGTTTCGAGATGACGCTCCCCCTTATGTGGACTGGAGTTTTCGGCCCCTTTGAGAGAAAACTCACTAAGGTGCAGCGTTGCCGGATCTTTACACCGTTAGGTGATGGAACCTATCTACAACGAGATCTTCCAGGACCTCCCACGTACCAAGGATGGCTGGCTTCCTGGAGGGTGCTGAAAACAGCGTGCTTGATGCTGAACGTGGCATCACTAGCGGCTCTCGAAGTTTATGGGAGGCACGTGGAAAAGCTTGTCACCCAGTGGCCATCCGCTTGGGGACTGATCTATCAAGCTGAGGATGCAGCACGTGCTGAAAGGATGGCAAAACTGAGAAGGCAATTTACGGTTGAATCAGGGCTCGGTCGTCAAGTTCCCCGAGACTGGAACCCAAAGGAGCCTTGGAGTTGCATCTTTGTGCAACTCACCAAGGACGATTCCTATTGGTCAGAGAAAGTGCACATACCCGCAGCGGCTTGGGTGGCAGCAGGTGCAAGGGGCCAGCCGGTGGTAGCATCCGAAGCGGCGGTGAAGGCCCATGTTCCTGGATTGCAGGACTCCCTACATGACATCACTCCCCCTGGCCAAGACAGCACAGACCCGAGAAGAAAGCAGGCAAATCGAGACAAACGAGCAGCACGAAAGAGAAAGTTCCAGGCGAACATGGACGAGCTACGAAGCCTTCGTCAAGGTCAGAGTGGCCACAAGCAACAACATGCAGGTGGCGGCAAAGACTCCGGAGGAAAGGGCAAAGGCAAGAGCAAGGATCAGTCTGGAACTCCAATTTGTTTTTCATGGGCATCGGGCACAGGTGTTTGCGGCAAACTTCCTGCAGGCGCTGAGTGTGCAAGTCCGGTAAAACGGGCCCACAAATGCCGCAAGTGTCTTTCTCCTTCACATCAAGATTCTGCGTGTACCAGGTGAATCAGGACAAAAGTGGGCACCTGAGGAGTCGCAGTCGTGTGTTGAGTTGATGTTTTATTTTCCTTTCTTGGCATGTTGTGACGGTTTGAACTTGTTGTCATTTTGGTTGCATGCTTGGAGATTTTAGTTCATTTGCGTTTGTAGCATCATGGATGCAGAGAAAGGGGTTAGTACAAGCCCACCCTCGGTGGATTACGGCGATGGCGACGAAGAGGAGCCATTGACCGCCGAGGGCCCCGAAAGCACCGCGGCGAGCCATGGGGTTCCTGCGGAAACGGAGACAGAATCCCCGGAGGTGACCATGCGACCCAGACGGGTGGAGCAGGCATTGAAGGAGTCAAAGACCTTCGAGGACTACAGAAAGAAGAGACCGTTCAAGTTCTTGCACATGTACTCTGGTCCCAACGATCCTCTTGGGCAAGCTATCAAGATGGAGGCAGCCAAGAACCGCCTGAACGTAGTGGTGCTCAGCTTGGACAACCAACTGGACCCTGACCTGGACCTTGCCGATCCCAGAGGTTTTCAGATCATGAAGGAGGACGTCAACAAGGGGGAGTGGGATTTTACCCACGCTGGCTTCCCTTGCGGGTCATTTTCGATGGCCAGGCACAATGACGTGCCGGGGCAGCCGAAGCCGGTCAGGAACAAGTCGAATATTTATGGACTGCCTGGCAACAGTCCACAACAGCAGGCGGAGGCCGACAAGGGAACACGCATGGCCACCCAGGCTGCGGAGATCTATGAGTCGCAGGTGAACAGCTGCATCAAACGCAAAGTTCCCCCACTGGCAACATTAGAGAATCCACCAGGAAGTGAAGAGTCAGGAAGTGCCTGGGATGTCCCCGAAGTGTCAGCCTGTCTGCAACGAACCAAGGCGGTTAGGGCAAACTACAACACCTGCGCCTACCAGCTCAAGTCCAAGGAGAGGCACTTCAAACCGGGCGTTTGGACGGGAAGGCTCCAAAATCTTGAGAAGGTATCCAAGGTTTGTAGATGCCCTGCATGGGTCAGACATACGTCGTTGGTTGGAAAGAGGAAGACTGCTCCGGCGGCAGAGTACCCGGCGGCGCTGGCTGAGACTATAGCCGTGGAAGTCGTGGCAGTATGGAAGAAAACGCTCAACCTCGAGTGGTGGAGATTTCAAGTCGAAACCAAATCCAAGATCGTCAATGACTTACAAAAGGCCTGGTTAGAGAATGAGGAAAAGAAAACTGGAGGAAACACCACCAGATCGGAGCCGTCGAAGAGGGCTGCATCGATGGCGTTTAAGATCGACAACATAGAAAGTGACGATCTTCCTGAAAGCTCCAAGGCGAGACCAATCAAAGCCCTGAAGGAGGAACACAACAGACTTTGCATTGGAGGGATGAGGAACCCCGCCAAGACGGTCAAGAGACTGACCCAACTTCGTTCAACGGGCCAGAAGATATCAAAGATGTGGGACGAGTTTGTGGACTCCCATCCAAAAGCTTTGCAGGTGGCCGTGAACTACGGGAAGACGGATAACATCTTCGACGAAGAGCTCCTCGAGTTGTGGAGGCTTGCACTGCGGGAGAACTTTGTCAAGACGGACGAACACCCCATGGTGGTCAAAGAGAACTGGGAGTTCAAGTCCCCCTTGGTGGCAGAACTCTGGGAAGCTTGGGGCGAAGAAGCGGTCGATCCCGACGTTCACCTGCCGGAGTTCATGAGGAGGGGGGCACCGTTGGGAATGGAGGTACAGATCCCCCCGAGTGGAGTGTTTCCGGCAGCGGTGGGGTTAGAGGAGACCAACACTGACCAGGCAGGGGAGTTCGAGGAGTTGAGATTCCTCCGCAACTACGAGTCAGTGCGGTCCCAACCCGAAGAAGCCACGTTGGAAATCAACAGGTACGTCGAGAAGAACTTCGCCAGAAGAGTCACGTGGCAGTGGGTCAAAGACGTGCTGGGGGAAACTGGCACGGTGTCAAAGATGGCCTTGATCCTCAAGCAGAAGGAAGACGGAAGTGTCAAAAGAAGAATCATCCTGGACATGAGGAGGAGTTTTGGCAATTCAAGAGCCAAAACGGATGAAAGGATAGTGCTGCCGCGCCTCACCGACGTGGTCCATATGCTGCAAGACATGTGGAAACCTCGAGGCGGAGACAAAGGTCGCAGAGAATCCAAGGAGGAAGACGACTTCGAGATCTACCTCATTGACCTCGAGGATGCCTTTTGCCATTTTCCAGTTCGGAAAGAGGAGCTAAGGCACTGTGTGACCCCAGACGAGCACGACCAGGATGCTCTGGTTTGGACGGCAATGTTATTTGGGTACAAAGCGGCCCCGCTAATCATGGGGAGATTGTCATCGGCTTTGGGAAGATTGCTACAAAGCATCATGGACCCAAGTTCGGTGCAACTTCAGGTCTACGTCGACGATGTGCTGATGGCCGCAATTGGACCCCGACCACAAAGGGAGACAAAGCTCGCGGCGGCGCTGTACACAGCAGCGGCCTTTGGGGTCCGAGTGAATCTCAGGAAGGGAGAAAGAGGAAGAAGGGTAACGTGGATAGGATGCTCCATAGAGGTCCCGGTGGTGCAGATGGGGGAACCCGAGGTGGTAGTGCTTGGCATCTCCAAGAACATGATCGACCAGGTGCTGACCACCCTCCACACTTGGAAAGGAGGAGGTATGGGATCCATCAAAGAGCTGAGGTCCACCACAGGGAGATTGTCCTGGGTCGGCGGAATTCTGCCGAGATTGAGGTGGACCGTGAATGTGCTCTACGCCACACTCAAAGATGTGGAAAGAGAGCAACAGGACAGAACAGAAGAGCGACGTGCAGCAGGTCGAGAAGACACCAGGTCGAAAGTGGGACTGTTCCCCATCAAGCGCTTGGGTGGGGTTCACTTATGGCTGCTGAAACTCTTCGAGAACCCGGTGGAGAACCTCATCAGGATCGAAAGGATGAAGAAGCCGAAGGTCTCCTGGGGCATCATCACCGATGCGTCACCAAAAGGTTGGGGGGCCATTTTGGTCAAAGTGCTGGACGCGCACCCAAAGCAACTGGTACCAGTTGAAGCAGTGGAAGGCCTCATCACGGAGAACGAGGCAAAGCTCCTCAAGGTGGACTATGGTGAGTCATCGTCCCAAGCGGTGATGGAGGCACTGGCCATTGTCAGAGCCGTTGACAAATGGGGCCAAAAGTTTCACGAAAGAGCAATCCTCATCAGGTCTGATTCGTCGGTGGCATTAGCCATGACAAAGCGACTGTCCAGCCCGCACCCCTCGCTAAACTTCCTGGCGGCGGAATTGGTGCTCAGGCTGGAGAAGTATCAGGTGCAACGGGTAGCCTTGCATCACTTGCGAGGCACGTGGAATGAGGAGGCCGACTGGCTTTCGAGGATCGCAGAGAGAGAGGGAAAGCCCAGACCAGCTGGTTTGGAAGGGGTGCACCTCAAAAGAGCGGCACCTTGGAAGAGCTCTCACTTTTGGCTTAAACCTCCCGGCGACATCACGGAGGAGAGACAAACGTTCACTCCGCAGGACAGCATCTTCGAACACATGGCTGTGCGCTGAAAATGGGGGGGAGCCAGATTCGAAAGGGGACACAGGACACTCAGTTAAATTTGAGTGACCAATCCTGTGGGTGAGTACGTTGTACTTTCCCCCTTTTGATCCTTTTATGTTATTTTCTTCTTACTTTACTCCCTTTGATTAGGTTTACTCCTAATCACCCCCCTGTCTGTCAGCTGCACTTGCCGGATCACTTGTGTTTGAGGTTTGAGATATAAACATTTTATAGTAGCTATGGAGGTTCAAGCAGCAGACAAGCCGGTAACGGCAAGCCCTGGGTCCGCGGACGACATCGTCCAATGGATCCTCCAGATGTGGCTGCTGTCAGTGCTGTGCGCATTCGCAGCCGGGGCAATGTGCTGGCGTCAATGGTGCTCGCGGCGGCGCCAAAGAGAAGCATGGATGGGCGAGCTTGGAACCTGGGAGGAAGAAAGGGCTCCAGCCAGGGGAGACTTAACATCTCAGCAGGGCAATTCCTTTCCCAGCCCACCGAGCTCGAGAGTTCGGAGAGTTCGAAGCCCTTTGAGCTCCAGGAGCAGGAAAGCGCCAAGAGGAGGGAACAGTCAGCCGAGTTCAAAGGAATCCTCAAGCATGTCAACGAGCAAGAGTTCCAGGCGAAGAAAAGCGTGCAACAAGCAGCCTTCAGTGCCAGAGGAATCAAGAACGACAGAAGGCATCAGAGGAAGACCGAGCGCAGTGGAAAGGGGAAGAACGGTCCTGAGCATCATGGAAAACAGCGCAAACCGAATGATGCAAAGCCCGGGACAAACAAGAGAAAGTTGAAGGACATGGCGACTGCGATAAAGTCCCCGGCGTGGATCGCTGCTGCAAGGGCAAAATTGAAGAACAGGTTGTTTTCAGCCTCAACCTTGGCATCAAAGGAATCCAAGAGGAGAAGGATCCAAGAGATCATGGACAATTGCAACATCCGTTTGGGTGAAAACGGCATCACCACCGACGAGTTGGTAACGATCGCGGCCGTGCTGGGAGAAACGGCAATAAAAAGTGCCGACCAGTACCTAGCAGAAGTGAAACTCATGCAACTGGAGGCCGGGGTCTCTTGGACGGACGTGTTGGACAGGCAGTTAACCATGGTTAAGAGAGCCTTAAAACGAGACACAGGTCCCGAAGAAAGAGCCAAGGAATTCAACCCTGAGCTCATGGACAATGGAGCGTGGGAGACAAAGTTGCAGGTGAAGGGTTGGCCGACTAGAACGGCTTGGGCATATGGCTGGGCAGTGGTCTGGATGCTCAGGTGCATCGAGCTGGTCAACCTGCAAGCCGCAGACGTGGCCCTGGACTTTTCCACCAAGTTGGTCACCGTGAACATCAGGAAGTCGAAAATGGATCAAGCCGCCCATGGAGTGAAGCGAACGTTGAAGTGCTGCGGGAACCCTACGTGCACGAGGTTATGTCCGTGGGGTTTAGCAATCCGAGTTCTGTCGGATCATGCGAGCCCATCCGAGACAACACCCCTCTTCCCCGACAAGGATGGGACGCAAATACAAAAGGTGAAGATGGTAAAATCATGGATGGACAACATCAACGAGGAGCTCACGGGCCACTCAGCCAGAAGAAGTGGAGCCATGTGGTACGCTCGAAAGGGCTTACCCGTCCACGAGATAGGGCTGTTGGGCAGGTGGAAATCATCGGCGGTCTTCAGGTACATCGAAGAAGCATTACAAGAGATCCCGCTCAACACAAATGTGATAGCAACCACCACAGGCGCGCAGGACCGCCAAATGATATGCCCGGGCACTCCTGTACCGGGGACACCAGTGGCCAATGTGGCAAAGTTCCAAGAGGTACAGGAAGATAAGGAACCTGCACCACAGACCAGAAAAGCAAAGAAACCGGAACCACCAGAACAATGCTGGGCAGTTTCCACGGGGCGCAAAGGAAGAACATCACACCGTGTCAGACGGGCCTCCTGGAACTTGAGCCTAGCAAGTTGGGATACGTGGTGTGGATGGCATTTTGCTGAAAAGAACGTCAAGGTCACATTATCACCAAAACTCTTGGCCTCGACATCACAATGCAAAAAGTGCGAGGCAGCTTACCAGTCCCGCGACGGTGTCAAGGATGAGGTGAGCTTGGCGTCCCTGGTCAATTTTGACTGACCCATGGAAGGGTCAAAGCTGACATGACACAAGTCATGCAAAGACAGGCTGCACTGGAGCAGCTACCACCTTCCGAGCAAAATCAATGCGCGACATTGCACCTGGAGAGTGGGAGGGATCGCTGTGATGTGACGATGTTGTTTGTGTGTTTCTAACAGAAACACAGAACAATTGAGGAACCACTGTTTTGGGTGGAAGGGTGGGCTGTGACCGCAGGCATGGCTCCAATGTGCCAAGGTCATGGCAAATTTTTCTTCTGCCCACACCCACCCACCCTGGCAGAAGAAATAATGCTAGGGTGTGGTGAGGTGAGCTTGGCGTTCCTGGTCAATTTTGACTGACCCATGGAAGGGTCAAAGCTGACATGACACAAGTCATGCAAAGACAGGCTGCACTGGAGCAGCTACCACCTTCCGAGCAAAATCAATGCGCGACATTGCACCTGGAGGGTGGGAGGGATCGCTGTGATGTGACGATGTTGTTCCATAAAAAATTGTGATTTTCCATAGTTTTTTGTATGTTTACCAGAGGGTACCAAGTTTTCCCAATTTCCTCTCCAACAGTCTTTGGGGAGTCGGGAGCACATCCCAAAAATTGCACGATCCATGACGATCCCAGACATCCGCGTGAGGTGGGCGTTACCCATGCCTTCTGCCCCCACATGGGAGCGCATCTGGGCATGGGCGGCGTTGTGGTGGGCAACTCCCTGCAGTGTCCCTTTCACGGCTGGTCCTTCAACGTCGCAGGCATGGTGTGGAAAACCAGTGCGCAGTGCAGGGGGTATAGCCATTGGCAACTGGGAAAAAGACGAAAAAGAGGATTAACCCATGGATTTGGAGCTGCCCTATTTTCAGACAAGCCCAGGTACATCCCTATTTCTGTTGGGATAGGAAAAATTGCGGGTGAACTCCTTATTCTGGTTGCTTCGATCATCATTTTTCACCATTTCCCCGTCAGGCGACTGCGTCTCTGTGCCCTACCGGCGCTGCAACCGGGACATGCCGGAGAGCTCCAAGCTGCACGCCTATGAGGCGGATGGTGGGATAGTGGAGATATCATGTCCTATG